CCACAAAAAGATCATTTATGAAGCTGTAGTGTTCTGGGTACTTGCACTCTTTGATAGGCAAAAGTTAAGAGAAACACAACTAAGTAGGTTTGTTGTTGGCTATATAATATGATGACGTAATTTTATTATAAATTACATAATGTTACATAACAATACTTTTGCCGATAGGGCTAACAACCAAGGGCGGTGGAGGGGAATGGGTGGCTTGAAATTTAAATGTGTAATAAAAAGTTTAATAAATATCGTATAGAGAATACAAATATAATGTAATGTCCTGCAAGAAGAATATCTTCGATGCTGTTTGTATTCACAAATAAATGTAACGAATGAAGATGGTATACCAGGTGGTATCAGATAACTGACGTTTAAAACCTGGAAGTCACACGATTGGTCAGAATTAATGACTGGTGTCCGACGACAATAACACGTCATCCCCCTCACACTCACTTCACAAAACTTTTAATTGCATTAAATTTAATTTATGAAGCTGTAGTGTTCTGGGTACTTGCACTCTTTGATAGGCAAAAGTTAAGAGAAACACAACTAAGTAGGTTTGTTGTTGGCTATATAATATGATGACGTAATTTTATTATACATTACATAATGTTACATAACAATACTTTTGCCGATAGGGCTAACAACCGCCAATAGCTGACTACGGCAGTTCGGCATTTGTTATAGATCACCAACACAACGGGAAACACTATTTTGTAAGCACTACTAAGAAAGAATACTTTATGTGTTATCCATAAGTAATAACCACGACTAACTACTAATTCTCAGGAATAAAAAGTTCACTCTATTGAGAGATAGATAGAGCTTATCCTCGGACCAAGGGCGTTACAATACCCGGGAATTTATCGGTTCGTCCAGTACTTGTTTGTGATAGCGCCCTCTGTAGGTCACTGTGCTTATAGCCTACAGTAATACGGGGTAGGATATCGGGAATTCGGTCAGTTTCTATCCGTCGATTTCGCTATGAATTGAAGCAAGTGTGACCACTTTATCCACTTAAACAATTTGATAATTGATTAAATCTTTAAACAAAATCGATAAACACGTTATACACTTCCTATCTCCTTAGAAATTAGCATGTATTTATGGATTGTGTTTTCGAACAAGGCTCGACCCACCCCAATAGGGAAATCCTTATGCTAATTAGTATGACGTCATATTTTCCTGGGGAATCCTAGATTTCAAGGCCTCAGTCTGTTATTGTGTCAAATGTAAACGCTCTTGGGACGCTCTTTTGCAGACAGAAAATTGACAGATTAGCTTTTAACTTTCAGCTTTGATGTTTAAATATTCTGTATTTCTACCGGACTTCTTGCTGAATATCATATAATGTTATAACTTGATTTGGATCATTGCCTGATTGATCATTCTGAAATTTTGATTGTGATTCATGATTGATTGGCAAGAAAAATAATTCCTATTGTTTTCCAGCGAAGTCAAAATGTTACAGCATGAGTTATAATGTCGAGTTTGCATCATGTTAAATTCTGCTAGTGATTAGAAGTCCATGCACAAGCATACACATAAGAGACAAACACACCCAGGCTCCAGGCCGTGGATGGAAATATAAAACTATTTAAGGCACAAACTGGTATTAATATACCGATATGTAGTGTCTGCCATGTATTGAAGGTAAACCAATCTGTATTATTAATGTTTCTTCTATCAATACATGGGTTGTGCAATAGAAAAGCAATGGCACAATCAAAAATGTGCATATCAATCGTGAATATCTCTCGGTTCAAAGCTTATTTCCAACAGAATCGTGTCAAAATATGTGTCTGAGTAACAGTTATACATTATAAGATCGCAAACTCTTACCAATTATCAGCCGAATGGCTCATTTTCAACGAAATGTCCTTAAGACAACAGCCCTGGGTCGCGCCTGAGACCAAAAACTACTTCAAATAGCCCTCCCCTAATTATATTGGATAATCACATTTATGCGTGCGCACGCAGCTCATCCAATGAACGAAACGCCACTTCCCGCTGAAATCACCGGGTATTGATCTTTCCCTTGCTCGGACCAGTTACGTCTTATCCGTGTGTCATATGACTACTGTGTTAATTAACTAAGTAAAGTATTCCAATTAAAAAGTGTTGTATGTTTGCATGCAGCAAGCGTTTAATAATTCTTCGCATATATAATATTGTCCATAAAAGGGTCTGATATATAATATTGTCCATAAAAGATCGGTCTGATAATTACAAGTAACTCATGTTTATTTTAAAACTATTTTTTACGAATTTATGATAAGTGTATAATGTTCAATCATACAAATCGCAGTCAGTGATTGTTCTCCACACTCACCCCTCCCCCTTCCTGACATGAACTATTTTGTAAAACCATTGACAGTGTGGAAAGGATTCTTACACTCGAGTGTCAAGGGGGGGGGCAGTTACAGAAATATACAAGGCGATGGTTCAAATTGGACAATTTTCAAAACTGCTCAACATGGTGAAAACTTCACGTTTTTAAAGAATGCTTGCCCGGCGAGTGGTTTGCTCTGGATTGCGAGAGAACAAAAACTTTGAATTAGGATTTTTCCTAATACTATCATTAATCTAAACAACTTTTTAAACCGTCTCTGATTACATATCATGCCAATTAATACCATTATTGTGTTGACAGGATTAAATATGATATCTATGGAATTATAATTTAATGAACTCAATAGTCTAAATGATAATAAGTTCATAATTTAGTCTTGGCTGACTAGTCTTGCATCATCAGAGTTGGATTGCAAATACCTCCCTAAATCAAATATTTAAAATTTACAAATTTACTAGTGTACGGGGTGGGGGAACAAGTCTCCATCCAACTACTAAAGTTTAAAAGGAAGACTATAGTGTCCCGTGAATTCATTATAATTATCTTAGACAATAGTGAAGCGGTACAATCATGGGAGTGTTAATTAATCGGAATGCAAGTTTGATTTAAAATAACTCCTTTGGATCAAATATTTAAATTCTACTAGAATGCGGGGAGTGGAAACAAGTCTCCATTCAAGCACTAAATATCAAAAGAAAGATTTCAGTACCCCTTAACTTCACTCCCGGACTTCACTATTCACCACCACCCCTGCCCCTTCCCCAAGTATCCCTTATGACCCCAGAATGTTCGTTTCTGTGCCCCCCCCCCCCCCTGTCCATGGCCAGTAAGTAATCTATGTGTATATTGGCTCCCTCCCAAAGGTGGGAAAACCAGATGCAGGCATAGACATTGACAAGGTGAGGGGATTTAAATATAAAAATAGTCTTGTTTTTGGCTCCGACTTATATATTTTGGCACTGTTTAACGAAGCCGTTTTAAGGAATGAGAGGCAGAAATAATTCCTAGAAATAAGATGGCCTCATCGCAATAGCCGCGACCCCTTTGTCTTTATCCTTAAACAATCGGCAGATAAGAGTGGCTCTGGCATACCAGAATGAGATGGCCTGTCTTTACTGTAATCAAGATGGTACCTAACCGCAGTTATTTTGGTTTTATAACGGGGATATTGCTCGAGCTTGAATAACAAATAAAAGGCATGTTCTTATTTCTGTATTCTGTCCTTTGATTGAGTATTAAGTTGAGCTGCACGCCAAACGTTAAGATTGTTAAAACGCTTAAAATAAAACTTTATTCCTCTCAATTTACATAAAAATGAAACAGATTAGATTCGAATCTCAGTCACACCAGCCACTGGTCAAAGGAAGTACAAATATCTATATTAATCAAATGTCTGAGAATTTGATAACTGTCTTGGATCCAATTTTAATTTTATTGAAGCAAACTAAGAAAAGTATAAAGATGAATTTTAAACGTTTAGAGGGAAAAGTCAAATATGCATTGTAACCCTAAAAATAATTCATTAAAGTGTCGTACACATTTTATAACATTTATATAAATTCGGAGTGGCTCCAGGACCAACAATTCGGTACTGGAGACTGTACAGTTGGTATTTGCTGGGGTACCGACAATTGTCGACAATTGTAGTGGTCAGCGTCATCGATTGCTGCGCATGTGGTGCGGGTTCGATACCCGCTATCGGCCGCGTTTTTTCTGTGCCTAGATTATACATCATTCTTTTGCGGACTCAGTTTTGAAATTGTTCTTTCTATTTCTTTTTATATCAGTAGTAGCTCAATAGATATTTTGAGCCATTGACGCTACAATGATCTGGCTTACCCTCAAGGGCTGGCTGGCTGACTTATTCATAATTTCCTGATGTTTTTTTTGCGATTTACAACCACAATACATGGATAGTAATATCTGAGACCATCATATGTTTTATGTTAGTTTCAGGTAATATTAAATACATTCTGTTTACAAAATGAATTGCCTCTAATAAAACTGCACTGAACTGTGATAAGTAACATTGTTATGAGATTATTTCAAGTTCTAGTTGGTTGCAAGCTTATGTCAATTAGAGTTATTTCCTGCTAATTATTCAGTCACGATTGCCACATGATATTTTGGGAAAATAAAACCCATAAGAGGTTAATTATGAATATAAACTTACAAACTTCCTTGTCATGAGTTATTAAGATATTAAGTTGCCTGTTGATTGTTGATATGTATAGGGTTGGGTCCGGGCATATCATGGGTCTCCTTTTTGAATGAAACCCTTTGATGTGTCGCCGGTAATTTTTCCTGAAATTCCTAGTGGGTGACAATTTTATGATCTTACTTATACACGTGACGATTTTAACTTGAAGTTTTGTCCCCCGAAAAAAGTAGATCAGCCCCCGAGTTGTGACATGGTTCCTTGAGCATTTAGCTACGTTAATTCCATTCGATCCTTATCAGGCCCTACAACATCACAAATTCGAAGAGTTCATATTATGATTTTTACAATAGAACTCTTTCAAATCTCAATTTTTAGTAGAGTTTCGTGAGTAAAATGAAAATTATATAGACGTTTTAACGGCCTGTCATTTTGCTTGGCCTATAATTTTATTTTTCTTTGTAAAGTGCTGCCATCTTTTAATCACTCTGGTCACGTGATCATAACAGATTTGCAGAAAATATTTCGGATTCGTTATAAAATGTAAGAATTGTTAGTTATACCCTGATGCAAATAAGAGTGTAATGATGTCTGGCGAAAGCAGTGGGAACAAGGAACAAAATGACACCAAGACAACTGGACTTCGATTCAGAGGATGTGAGTAAATAACCCAGAACACATTTTTCTATTTTTCTAATTTTTTTTCATTTTTCTGCCCAATCCTCTAGAGATCTGCTATTCAGTTACTGACCGACTCTCTACTGTATTTTAGGCCTATATTTTATTATTTAAGTCAAAACAGTCAGTTATCTACATGTAGTCCAGGTATGTTGATATTAGAGTTGAACTGATATGAAAATCCAGCCCCCAATCGCCCAATCTTTTCCCCCTGGTTCACAGAGAGTGCGAGGGAAGAGTAGTCTGTACCTGAGGTTCACTAAAGCAATGACCTCTATTATTATTGTATGTTCCCTTACCAATCTGTCAAATGTCGCTAGTATGTTCCCATACCATAGGGAGTAAGTCCCCCCCTTCTAATATTCTCTATGTAAATAGGCTAATATATATTATTTAGAGTGAGGGATGACTTACTCCTACTCACTTCGAGAGCCATGTTAGATTTTGAAACTTATGGCTCTCGAACGGGGAAATGGACAACTGAATGATAGTGACCTTTGAAACACGAATTAAGTCGATCAGCGTCGATCAGCGGCTTACTTTTGTTCTCTAACTATGTCATACATCATTATCATCCTTCCGTGCAAGTATTGGAGCGCTGAAGTACTTCCTTTTCGATCAAGACTTGTAATTGTAAGTCGAGTGAATGTTTTTTCTGCCAAATTCCAATATGGCGTTTTCTGCTCGGACATTCTCGTAAATCTCCGGAGGTTATCCGAACCCCCAGGGGGTTCACTGTATATAAAACTCGATGGGGGTCCTAGGCTGAAGCCTCAAATATCAATATGTTCCCATACCAATCTGTCAAATTTCAATATGTTCCAATACCAACCAAAATAACGCCCAAAGGCCATACCAAATGTCCAAATATAGGACCAATGCCATACCAAATGTCCAAATATAGGACCAATGCCATACCAAATGCCCAATTATGGGACCAATGCCATACCAAATGTCAAAATGTAGGACCAATGCCATACCATATAAAATTCAAAAGTGAAGAAGGCCCTGGAAAACAAGATACATCGGGAAACGATCCAAAACAACTTCAAATTTGCAACTACTGGACCAATGCCATACCACGAATGTTAGGTAACGTATCTACAATGACCATTCTCATACCTGAAGAGCAAAAGTCCGACCATTGCCATACCTCAGAAGTCAGAAATTTCCGGGCATTCCCATACCAAATCCTAAAATATGGGTCCATTGCCATACCAAACGTTGAAAAAGGTACCCCACATGCGCCGAGGATCCCCGTCAAGGTTTATATATAGTGAACCCCCCGGGTCCGAACTCATTCTCAAAATTCATTTCGTTCGTTGCGTATCTCACTCCATGCAAACCGCCATATTGGAAATGGGTTCGAAAAAACATTCATTCGAGGAACAATTTACAAGTCTTGATCGAAAAAGAAGTATTTCAGCGCTCCAATATTTGCACGGATTGATGATACTGATGGAAGACACAGTTAGAGACCAAAAGTAAGCCACTGATCGACTTAATTCATGTTTCAAGGGTCACTATTATTCAGCTGCCCAAGTGCGCCGTGGGAAAGCTATTATATCAAAATCCACATAGCTTTCGCAGGAAGTAAACTTACTCCCTATCTCCCATACCTGAAAAATTGTATGATCTAATTTGCAATTCTTTAAGTAATGCCTTAAGCCATACAAAATGTTGGCCCAATGTCATACCAAATTTAGAAACATACAGGGTGTCAAATAAGTCTGTTCTCCCCCCTTAACTTTTTTATTTATATTTAAATTTATCATACTTTCCCATATATCATTTTGAAGCTCATGGAAAATGCTGATCACCCTCAAAGAATCAGGTATAGTGAATGAAAAGTGAAAAGTTGATACTGCATTGACAATGCCAACATTGGGTGATTTCGATGTTTCTCAATATCATTACAGAGTAAAATGTATTACATTCAGGCGAGCCTTTGAGGCAGGGCCATCTTTCATCACAAAATAGTTGATAACACCTAAAATTAAACGTTCTGAATGATTTATACAGGATCATATCCTCGTAGAATTGAGGCCCTCTGGGCTGCTGGGGGAGACATACAAACTATTAAAAAAATTGGGAATTTAACCAATCACTCTGAAATTTGGTGTGGGATCAGCAAATTAAATTCCCTTTAAGATGATATATACCAATCCTATGTTATCTCTGAATTAAAAAAGTTAAGGGGGGAGAACAGACTTATTTGACGCCCTGTACAACAAGTTCTACAGTAAACCATTTGAAATTGAGGATCCATTTATCTTGGCGGGAAAAGCCTGTATTAAAGTTACGAGAAGACCCATGAGACTTCAAAAGTTGAAGGGCGAACCTGAAAATCAAAAGGGAAGGGACAAACATTTTGCATAAAGATAGGCCCAAAATTAAGAAATAATGCCTTGTACGTCCCCTGGGAGGTTCACTGTATTCAAAATTTGGCGGGGGTCCTAAGCTGAACCCTCAGATATTGATATGTTCCCATACCAATCTGTCAAATTTCAATGTGTTCCCATACCAACCGAAATAACACCCAAAGCCATACCAAATGTCAAAATATAGGACCAATGCCATACCAAATGTCCAAACATAAGATCAATGTCATTCCAAATGTCCAAATATAGGTCCAATGCCATACCAAATGTCCAAACATAAGATCAATGTCATTCCAAATGTCCAAATATAGGTCCAATGCCATACCAAATGTCCAAACATAAGACCAATGTCATTCCAAATGTCCAAATATAGGTCCAATGCCATACCAAATGTCCAAACATAAGATCAATGTCATTCCAAATGTCCAAATATAGGTCCAATGCCATACCAAATGTCCAAACATAAGACCAATGTCATTCCAAATGTCCAAATATAGGACCAATGCCATACCAAATGTCCAAACATAAGATCAATGTCATTCCAAATGTCCAAATATAGGACCAATGCCATACCAAATGTCCAAACATAAGATCAATGTCATTCCAAATGTCCAAATATAGGACCAATGCCATACCAAATGTCCAAACATAAGATCAATGTCATTCCAAATGTCCAATTATAGGACCAATGCCATACCAAATGTCCAAATATAGGACCAATGCCATACCAAATGTCCAAACATAAGATCAATGTCATTCCAAATGTCCAAATATAGGACCAATGCCATACCACAAGGGGAAAAACTGATATTCAAACAGAAGAAGCCCGAGAAGAAGGTAGATCTTTGAGAAAAACGATTCAAACAACCTCAAATTAGAGATATGTGTTACTACTAGACCAATGCCATACCACAAGTGTGAGGTCACATATTTTTTCAAGACCATTCTCATACCAGAAAGTTGAAAGTTTGACCATTGCCATATCTCAAAGTCATAATTTCTACTATCTGTTCCAGTGCCCATGAGTAGGTATCCTCTTAAAGAATTAAAAGATAGCATCACTTCTTCTCTTTGATGGTCGCAATTATCTCCAAACCTGGAATTGTACTTAGTTAAAACAAAGTTTCTTGATTATTTTTGTTACAGAGGTTCATAAGACACCCAATTCAAATGAATTTTATTCACCAAATGTCATGAAAATTGTTGAAATCACACAAAATATGCTGATTTTCAATGACTATAGAATAGATGCAATTCAACATACATCTTCAGTGCTGGGTACACTTGCTTAAGTGCTGGGGTGATCTTTTTTCAGCAAGTCGACTATTTAATAAAAGGTTCACCAACACCAGTCGTTTTGTGGTCTCGTCAAAAGTATGGATGAACACGATCCCAACACGAGACTGTGATGTTCTTGTTACATTCCCATCCAACACCAGCGATCAGACATTGTTGTGGCTGTTGTCAAGGTTACGTACCAGAACCCCAGAGCTTTCAGTCCATGTTCGTCACCATAGCAATACAGGAGTGTTTGGATATTACCTCACTGCAACCTATGAAAAGTAAGATGTTTTATATGTTGCCATAGCAACATTAAGTGTTGGTTATAAATTTCATGGTAACTCATCAGATGAAGACAGATATTTTTAATACATCTCCATAGCAACAATGGAAAATTAGTGTTTGGATTCATCAAATTAGGATCTCTTATCGTATTAAACATACTTTTTACGTAATTGAAAATATAAAGCTTCTTGACAATCAAATTCCCCCACAATCCCCATTTTCAGTTTATTGAAAGCAGCGGAAGACTTAGAAATCCAGAAACCCCTGAAACTTCAATATGGCGGCGGAAACAAAGAATTCATATTCGACGACCAAGAATGTTTTGAGGGTATCGAAGAATCGTCCACATTCCTTACTAGTCAAGAGAGGCAGAATATTGTCCAGCATATGTTAAATAATCTCCGAGCGGTGGAGGGTGAGCAGTTGGGCAAGATACGCTTCCTGGAGGGGCAAGCGATAGGTATGTAGAAGCATTTATAGCTCAGAATGTTAAAATGAAGAAAGGTGGAGAATTATTGATTAACGATAGGGAGGAGATCAGAGAAATAATCAAGGTATGAGATGTTATTCCTTGGTAGAGCTTTGTATCTTAATAGAAAATGCTACGTTGAAGCTGTATAATATCCAACAGTATCTCAAATTACACAAATTGGAAAAACATTGTATTTCCATCATTTGCCCTTCAAAACAATTTTACAATATGGGTGATGAATATTTTATGATTTGTCGTAAGTGAATATGTGATGGATAATATGAGTTACTTGCCAGTATTACTCTGTGATCATTTTCAGATTATTTTTATTTTATCAGCACCAACGAGTAGTGACTTATTGTTATAGCCTTCATTGCAATTATGGAACAAAATTAAGATTGAAATGCATGTCATATCATTTTTGAAATGCATGTCATATCATTTGTGAAGTGCATGTCATATCATTTTTGAAATTCATGTCATATCATTTTTCAAATGCATGTCATATCATTCATGTCATATTACTTTTGAAATGCATGTCATATCATTTGTGAATTGCATGATACATCATTTGTGAAATGCATGTCATATCATTTTTGAAATGTCATATCATTTGTTAGATGTAATATATAGCTTGAAATGGCTTGAGATTTCTTTGAAGGGAATCAGTTGTTTTATTATCTATTGTTAGTTTTATGGATTTTATAGATTACTTGAAGTCTTCTCTTAATGTCTAAGGCTAAATGTTTTCTAAAATAATATAACCAAGCATTGAATATATATGCTCCATCCAATAATCCGGGAGGCTTGTGGTGTTGTAAAAATATCATTATGGCTTCTTAATCGAGTTGACCCTTTAGTATAGTAGGAACAAGGGGTTCCCATGCACCCATAAGGTGTGAATAAGTTATATACATTTTTGTAATCCCTAGGGTGTCTATTTAATGAATTCATTTGTTAACATTGCCAACTAATGTCCCATAGTACTTTTATGGCGGCATTCAGTTACCATGGTTACGCATCTTTAGACATCTTACCTTGGTATCTTAAATCATTTGTAGCTCTGTCATTATTTGGTCTATAGAAATGATATTGGTACCAAATTAAACCTCGTTAAATTTCCAATAAATTTATGATATTCAATTATGCAAATTATCTAATTTGCATAAATTATGACGTCATCAATCTTTTTTTGGTTCAGAATTTCCAACTATAGCAACGTATCTATTAGAACTGAGGCCGTATGGCAAAATTTCTGAAAGGTTTTGTCCTTTATTCTATTAGTAGAAGGTATAAGCAACATAAAAGTGAAAACAGATTCAAAATTGAATCAGTATTACGAAAGTTATGTAACTTTCGAGGCAGCTATCGTGAATGTCATTATTTGACAATAATATACATATGTCTTACCTTGGAGTCTTGAATCAATGTAGCTTCGCCATTATTTGGTCTATAGAGATGATATTGGTATCTGATTAAACCTTATTAAATTTACTATATGGTTACAATATTCAGTTATGCAAATTAGCTAATTTGCATTAATTGTGACGTCATCAATCCATTTTTGGTTCAGAATATCCTGGTATAGCAACATATCTATTAAAACTGAGGCCGTATGACAGAATGTGTGCATAGTTTTGTCCCTTATTTGATGAGTGGAAGATATAAGCAACATTAAAAAGACAACAAATCTTCAAAATTGGATCAGAATTAACAAAATTATCCAGCTTTGGAGGCGGCTACTGTGAACGTCATTGTTTGACAATTATAAAAAGAATATTAAATTAACAAAAAAAGTAACAACCATAGTTGTTTCAATCTTATTGAGTAAAAATGTGCATGTATTGAACTGAACTAATAAGTATGTGGAAAGGTTACATGTTTTCTGACTATCATTCACAGGGGTCAAAACGGTTATCTCGACGCTGTATATTAAAGATCCAATTTTATAATTTACCATGCACTTTCAATGATTCATATACTACTGAAAAGTAGGTTAAAGCCAGGTTCTCTACATCAACGTATTTTTAACACAATGTATGAGAAGTTTTCCATTTCACATAATGACAAATGTTCATGGCCTTATTTTTCAAATATCAATAACATTTTGATCAAACATGGGTTAGACAGAGCCATTCATGTTGATGACACGGACTGGTATCAGGGATATCTTAAAATATCGAATGAAAGAAGCCAAAGCAGTTTTCTAGACACCATTGCAGACAAATCCTCTCTTGTTCTGTACAGCTCCTTAAAAACAAATTGTTTTCAAGAAAACTACCTTAAGACTGATTTTGACTTTTATGGTCAGAAACTGAAATTCAAGGCAAGATCAGGGTGTTTTGGTCTGAATACTGACAAGGAGCGATGGGGCCAAGGTAATGGGTTATGCAATTTATGTGATACGAATGTCAAGGACTCTATCCAGCATCGTATGTTTGTATGTCCTCATTTTAACAATGAAAGAACTAACTTCTTTCTGAACGTGATAAACTCCTGTAATGAACAACTGTCATCTAGCCTTATTTCTGCTAATATTCCAATTAAAATATGCTTTACCATGGGTGATAAAGCTTTCATTGACTGGGGAAATGAACAAGGTCATATTTTAGATCAATGTGTAAAGAAATATCTGAAAGCAATTTATATTCCCCTTTAATAAGGATTGATGTATTTTAGTGACATTATGTATTTTAATTTTGACTGTAATTGTATGCATGTTTGTATGTGGATGCACCACATTTTCAATGTGTGTGCCACTGTTTTAAAAGTGATTCCAATAAATAAATAAAAAATAAATAAAAAAATATATAAATAGTATACATATAGTCTGATTTTCATCATATTCATCATGTTCTTCATATTCTTGATTCTTAAAGCATCTGAAGTATAAAGCATGATTAGAAGTGAAGATGATTCATCATATGGTTTATGTAATATTTCTAACATTTCAGATGCTATGGTAACATCACTTGATAATGAGGTTTTTACATTTCACGTTCTTAATGAGTTAAAAGAAAGTTATTCTCCCTTTGCTTTAGAGATAAATAGTCACATGAATTTGTTTAAAAAAATTATAACTTAATTTAACCCCCTCCTGACAGCCCCCATATTTGAAGATTTTGGTGGAACCTGGCAAAATACATTAATTATTAGGTTCCAGAAGCCCCCAGAAGCTATATGATGGCCCCCAGTGGCCCCAAGAATCTATACAGGGGCCCCAAGTGGCCCCCAGAAGGTATACGATGGCCCCCAGAAGCTATACAAGGGCCCACAGAAACTATACTGTGGTCTCCAGAAGCTATATGGTGACCCCCAGTGGCCCTCAGAAGCTATATGATGGCCCCCAGAAGCTAATTAGTGGACCCCAGGAGCTATACGGTGGCACCCAGAAGCTATACAGGGAACCCCAGTGGCCCAGAAGATGTGAAGGGCCCCCAGTAGCCCCTAGAAGCTATACGGTGGCCCTCATAGGCTATATGATGGCCCCCAGAAGCTAAATAGTGACCCTCAGGAGCTATATGGTGGTTCCCAGAAGCTAAACAATGGCCCCCAGAATCTATATGGTGGCCCCAAATGGCTCCCAGAAGCTATAAAGGGCCCCCCAGTAGCCCCTAGAAGCTATACGGTGGCCCCCAGTGGCCCCAAAAGCTATATAGTGGCCCCCAGAAGCTATAAAGGGGCCCACAGTGGCTCCCAGAAGCTATACGATGGCCCACAGAAGCTATACAAGGGCCTGCAGAAACTGTACTGTAGCCCCCAGAAGCTATACAGGGGCCCCAAGTGGCTCCCAGAAGCTATACGATGGCCCCCAGAAGCTATGCAAGGGCCCGCAGAAACTATATGGTAGCCCCCATAAGCTATACAATGGCCTCCAGAAGCTATACAGTGTCCCCCAATGGGCCACCATATAGCTTTGGGGGCCACCGTATAGCTTCTAGGGGCTACTGGGGGCCCTGTATAGCTTCTGGGAGCCATTGGGGGCCATCATATAGATTCTGGGGGCCATCGTGTAGCTTCTGGGGGCTGCTGTATAGCTTCTGGGGGCCATCGTATAGCTTCTTGGGGCCACTGGGGTTCCCTGTATAGCTTCTGGGTGCCACCGTATAGCTCCTGGGGTCCACTAATTAGCTTCTGGGGGCCATCATATAGCTTCTGAGGGCCACTGGGGGTCACCATATAGCTTCTGGAGACCACAGTATAGTTTCTGTGGGCCCTTGTATAGCTTCTGGGGGCCATCGTATACCTTCTGGGGGCCACTTGGGGCCCCTGTATAGATCCTTTGGGACACTGGGGGCCATCATATAGCTTCTGGGGGCTTCTGGAACCTAATAATTAATGTATTTTGCCAGGTTTCACCAAAATCTTCATATATGGGGCTGTCAGGGGGGGGGGGGTTAAATTAATTAAGTTATAATTTTTCTAAACAAATTCATGCGACTATTTATCTCTAAAGCAAAGGGAGAATAACTTCCTTTTAACTCATTAAGAACGTGAAATGTAAAAACCTCATTATCAAGTGATGTTACCATAGCATCTGAAATATTAGAAATATTACATAAACCATATGATGAATCATCTTCACTTCTAATCATGCTATATACTTCAGATGCTTTAAGAATCAAGAATATGAAGAATATGATGAAAAGCAGACTATATGTATACTATTTATATGAATCATTGAAAGTGCATGGTAAATTATAAGATTGGATCTTTAATATGCAGGGTCGAGATAACCGAGTCAAAATGCATGTAACCTTTCCACATACTTATTAGTTCAGTTCAATACATGCACATTTTCACTCAATAAGATGGAAACAACTATGGTTGTTACTTTTTTTGTTAATTTAATATTCTTTTTATAATTGTCAAACAATGACGTTCACAGAAGCTGCCTCCAAAGCTGGATAATTTTGTTAATTCTGATCCAATTTTGAAGATTTGTTGTCTCTTTAATGTTGCTTATATCTTCCACTCATCAAATAAGG